TATTAAGCAAAAGGATAGGAAATATGTAGACAGCATTTCAGAACTGCATCGCTGAAGATCATCGTGCTGCACAGTACATTTCAGAAAGCTATGAAAGCACTGCTTCCTTTACTCACCTCCATCACCACCACACAGGCAGCAAGCTTCATTGTATGCATCAATTTAATAACCATATTGTTGCACAAGTGTATTTGATTATTTGTTAATCAATAATATTTAAAGTCTAAGGGAATGTTAAATATATTTATGTGATAATGCATATTTTCTATATGCCTTGAATTATTACACTATCCCCTTATGTTTCAATCAGAATAATATTAATTTAGAAATTTTCAACCATTTCAACCTTGGAAATATTCCTCAAAATACTTCAGTAAGGGTCTACTGGAATATTTCTGGATTTGTGTTTTCATCATTTCCTAATTCATACTCAATTCATGTGAACTTGACAGGTCTTGGTGTCTAACCATGTGTCATCACTCATTCAAGCTCTTAGAGCTTTCTGCCAATTATCGGGTCTTGTGGCAGGTATACATAACTATCCAACACAGTTTTCCCTCCAATTTCCATCCACATACTTAATCAAACACCGTATTTTCTTAGGGAGTCTACTGATGGCACTAAAATCTTGGCTGTGGTGGCTGAACTGTGTCCTGGTTGCATTCGTCTGAAGCCACTCGAAAACATTCATAACTCTGGATTAGGATTTTTAGAAGGGAAATCCGGGATCACTAGATACCTGAGAAGGTCACGGGTGGTAAAAAGTGTTGAAACAGTAAATGTTAGAAACATTTATCCATTTTGTTTTGAGGAGATGTTCATCACCATACATGCAGGATAACCTAGTGAGGTGTGTTTTCTTGTCCTCATGGGGGTATAAATTACAGTGCCATTGAAGGAGCACCAAGAAAGGAGCCAGGCATAACCAAATCAGCTGTGAGAAGGAAAAATTAGAAAATTCTTATTTCTTTAAGAGAAAAAAGACCCAGAAAAGAAAAAAAAAAAGCAAAAGGAACAAACAACAGTAATAAACCCAAAACAATAAATTTAGGTTTACAAAACAAGATGATAGGAATTTGACAGTGATTGTAATATTGCATTTTGTTACCTTCAAAAGGGTTGCTTAGATTAACAGCTATAGACAAGTAAAATTGATCTAATCATATGGGTACTAACTGTTTTTTTCCAAGAACTAATACAATTAGTAGTCATTTTAGCTATCTCCTATCTATATATACATATTTACGTCTTTTTCCTTTGCCTTCTGTCTTTTCTCCTATCCCCTATCCCCATTACTTTTCCTCTTGGAGGAGTTTCTTACCCTAACACAGATTTATTACAGATTTTGGATGGTATATACTTTTTAAGTTTCTTACACTAGGGAGACAATTCAATATTTACACATGTGAGTTGGATCTATTTCACTTATGAATATGGTCTCAAGTCAATTAACTTACTTGTAAGACTCTCGATGCAATCTTTCTTTATAGCTGAGTAATACTCCATTGTATAAAACCACTACATCTTTTATTTCCATTCCTTGATTGATGGGTACTTAGGTTGCTTCTAAAACTGGCTATTACATATTGTGAGGCAATAAACATGGATGCACATATATCACTGTGATACAATGTTTCCAGTTCTTCTGGAAAATGCCCAGAAGTGGGATAGCTGGGTCAAATAGAATGTCTAATTCTAGCTTTTTGAGGTATCTCCACACTGATTTTCACAGTGGGAGTACCAGGCTACTCTACCACCAGCAGTGGAAAAGAGTTTCTTTTTGCCTTAAAATATTTGTTCAATAACAAATATTTCTTATTCTTGGCCATTTTTTCTGGAGTGAGGTGGCATCTCATCGTCTTTTTAATTTGTATTTCTCTAATGATAAATAATGCTGAACATTTTTTCATGTTTGTCACTTGTATTTCTTCATGTGGAAAGTGTGTATTCATCTCAGATGCATATTTTTGGATAGGGTTCTTTAATTTGGGGGGCCTGATTTTTTTAATTAAGTTCTAGACAGAAGCCATTTATCTGAGGGACAGTTGGCCAAGATATTTTCCCAATTTGTGGGTTTTCCTTTCACTCTGTTGGAGATAACTTTTGACATGCAGAACCTTTTAATAATATGAGATCCCAGTTGTTGATTTCAGGAAGTATTTCCAGTGCAGTTTTATTTATTTTCATGAATTTTCTACCTACCCCTATGTCTTCAAGATTTCTGTCTTGTCTTCCAGCAGAATTTAGTGTTTCTGCTTTAATACTTAGATCTTTGATCCATTTTGACTTTAGTGCATGGTAGTAGGCATGGATCTAATCTACTTCATTGATCTTCAGGTCTGTTTTTATTCCAGTACCATGCTGATTTTATCACAGTATCTTTGCAGTATAATTTGAAGTAAAGGATTGTGATGCACATTTGTTGCAAGTTGCCTTGCATTTGTTGTCAATAATTGCTTTTGCTATCCTAGGTCTCTTCTGGTTTCAGATGAATTTTAGGAATGATTTCTCTAAATCTGTGAGGTATGCAAATGGTATTTTGATTGGAATTGCATTAAGTCTGTATAATAATATGGAAGAATGGCCATTTTCTGTATATCAGATTCTTTTCCCATGTTTGGAAAATTTGCTGATATTATTTCTGTAAATAATCTTTGTATGTCATTTTTGTTTTTTCCTGCTTTTTCATTGACAACTATCAGTCTTACATTTTTTCCTCAATGGATCATCTTGCAACTGTCGAATTAAAGGTTCCTTGTTATTTTTAAGAGGTCTTTTCTTTCTTGATCATAAGCTTCCATCCTGTCTTCAAGGTCTGGGAGTCTAACTTCAGCTGCATTCAAGCAATTTTGTCTGCTTTAAAAAGCATTTTTTATTTCCTGAATATCTCTTTGAATCTGTTTCATGAATTCTAATCCTGTCTAATATTGTTCATTCAAGATTTTCATCATTTTTTCAACATATGTATTATTTCTACCCATTTTCTGTTTTGTTTAGTCTTTCTTTAAATAAAATTTTAGGAAAACATTTCCATCATTTTTTATGTTCCTCTATTTTTTTTATTCTAGATCTTTAGATACACTCAGCCTTTTTTTCATAATGTTTGCCATTTCTTTTTTTACTCGAGAGATTATTTCTGATCTGATTTTCTCTATACCTTTTGGAGCTGTTTCTTTACTTCAGTCCCTATCATTTCAGAAAGTTCGGTTGTATGATATCCAGTGTCTTCCATCTCAATGTCTCTTGGGTTTGTTTTCAGTATCCTGGAGGACTGAGACTGCATCTTGATTGTTCTTTTGTTTTGTCATTTTTCTCTGGGCCCTGTGTGGCTAGCTGGGCACCCTTCCAATGGATTGAACTGGAACTCTGTGCTGGGTAGAATCAATCCTCTGTTATCCACATGACTTGCCACGATGCACCCCAGAACTATGGCACCAGAGTCTTGCACACTGTGACCTGTGAGCCTGAATGGGTGTGTTCCCCTGTGATACTGCACTGGGTTGCTCTGTGACACTTGGCTGTGCAGAGTTTAGATCTTCCACACAGCTAGCAGGGACACACCCCTGGAGTGTATCACCAAGGCCTAGAACCTGGCTGTGTGAAGCTCAAAACCTCAAGGACCCATGTGGCTAGCACGGACGCACACCCGGAGCGAGGTGATTCCAGGACCTTGCATCTGGCAGGGAGGAGATCAGAGCCTCTAGCCCACAGGGCAGCCCAGAGAAAGCCCCCGGCATATTATAAATATAAAATATATGAAAACTGACAATAAAAGTCTAGAAATATTGTAAACACTAATTTGTAGAGAACTGTAAGCTTCTTTTTTTTTTTTTTTTTTTTTACTTCTCTAAATCATTTAGTTAAATTATGATTTGAGGAAATTTCTTGATTTTAGTGACTATAAAAAGTTCTACTTACTTAATAATCTGAAATTTAGTCCGTTTTTCTCTTCTATTTTTATATGTGTGCTATATCCATAACAATTACTTCATTCGATACACTTTCAGAGAAAAATTAAAATATTTTATTTTTAGTAGTAACACAGGACAGCTATTAGATTGTCTTAAATCTACATTCTTCTGAGATATTTCTCTTTTAAAGTAAAAATATAATATTATTTATGACTTTTATGTTGTTCCTTATATTTACTCCTATTTTGCTGGGAATGTTAGGATTCGTATTACTATTATACAATGATCTCAAATTCAGTCCCACTGAATGAAGAGAAGTTTGGAATAAATAGGAATACATATATTTTAGATACCAAATTTTCTCAATTTTATTTTATTTACCACTTCTGCTTTCAATGTTGGCAGGCCTTGATTGCTGTTTCTTTACAGTAATAAAATATCCAAAATAAAATTTTACTGAAATTGATCAGTCTTATTATATTTTTCCTAAAGGTTTAGAAGATATATAACATATAGAATTTTATTGCTTTCCTTACTTTTTATTATATAAATATGATTGCACTCTTTCATTTCACAATATCCTCAGATGTGAAATAATTTTTTAGTGATTATATTTCCAATCTATTGTGAAACACAAAGCAGCCATGGGGCTGGGAGATAGAAGCCTCAGGCTTGAAGTTGCTTTTGTAATAGAAATATATGGGGAGAGAGACAAGTATTAAGAATTCCTGAAATAAATATTGTCCCTTCCACCAACAGATTAGATAGGGGGGCATTATATTTTTATGAAGAAGAGGATGGTACTGTCATCTCATCTTTGCACTTACCAAGAGCTATCCTTGGAATTATTTTTTAAATTGAGGTACTAATACTACTTGCAATTTTTCTGAGTATCCTTAAGCATCATAATGATACTATGTTACACATTAGTTTGGTCTCTTTTTTATACCTTTAATTTGTATTTGGTTTCAATAATTTTTGTTTTTGTTTTGTTTCCTGAGGTAGAATCTTACTACACAGTCCAAGCTTAATTCCTCTTGGCTCTGTCTTGGAGTTTCAGGATCACAGACTTTTACCACTGCATTTAGCTGTATTTTTCATATATATCTCAAAACTCATATGAACAATGAGTTCTGGGCTGCAAAAGAGGATTTTTTTTTTTTCACCAGTAAATTGAAATTTTAGTCTACAAATTAAGACCAAAAAGACACAAGTGCCAAGATTGATCTCTTTTTGTATTTGGAATCTTATCCTGAAGATAACAATTGACTACCGGTGTTTGTCCTGTACAGCCTAAACAGATGGCAAACCATTCACCACTGATGTTCAGGAGAAATTATACAGCAAACATAGGACACTAAGTGCTTTGGAAAACTTTATAAAGAAAGAAAAAGGAAAGGCTCATAACCTTATGGCTGAAACATCAAGAGATAAGCATCTTAAAACCAGGGTCACAGTGTTAAACAGATATATGAAAAGCAATGTTACCTGTTTTGGTTTTGTGGTAAGTTCTGTCTTGAAAGACAGAGTATAAAAATAAGAAGCTAAAAAAATTACAGACATTAAACTCAAAAGGATGCATTTTCGTTATTTCAATATAAATTCTTAAAATATACCAATGAGTAATTACTATGGGTTGTTAAGTTGATGCTATTTCTCCCAAATATCCCACATGCAACTGATTATGAAACTCATTAAAATTTTATTTCAGTTTTTGAAAATATTTTTAAATAATAATAAATTTGAGAATTCCTACATATACATGTTTAGTTATCAGTCTATCATTTTTGTGACAAAAATCTAACTTCTTTCATAAATAAAATTTATTTAAACTATTTTGTCTGTAATTAATAGTTACTATCAATATACAAAGTCACTAGCTTTTAATTTGAACAAAGAGATCTGTTCTATAACTTTCAACATGTGAAAATGTTCTTTTATATCTTTTTTCTACATTTTTTTTCAATAGGAAATTATACAAAGGTCACTACTGTTTGTGGAAAACCATAAAATATTACTACTCTCTATAATAAATCCTACAGAGTGATCACAAGTTAATTGAAATATTTACCCCTTTGACTGCCATGAAATCATCAGTATATAATAAAGAGTACAAAACTGTCTCAGTTGACATATGTGATTGATAAATAGGTTGTAAATTTGTGTGACTGGTAAAATTGCTGGTCAGGGAGGAATAAATAAATTCTAAATAGAAAATTAGATATAGATATTTCTATTTTTCCTATTAATTTATCTTGCTATCATTTAAGCTATATTCAATATTTTTATTAATGAGAAATTAAGCTTCTTACTATTATTTGTTTTCAAATTCCAAATTTTCATTTTAATTTTTGTTTGTTTTTAATTTTGGAAAGAAAATAAATGAGTTTGTGTTTTTTTCATTAAAACATATAATGTAACAACTGGATCTTATTTTCTAACAATATATTTATTAGACATATTTTAAGATATTCAGTAGTATTTTAGGAGGAGACATTAAAAATAACTACAAAATACCATTGTAAAGCTGTGGCTAACAAGACACACAAAAGCTATATATTAAGATACAAATGATAATCATAATTTTAACTGTCGACACCATCAAGTCTCAGGTAGGGGAAAATTAACCTGTTACTTGAAAGAAGGATAAGAATTTCCTAGATAAAAGTCAGAGCAAACTGATTGCTCAAATGAGCAATATTGTCATGTGCCAGGACCTTGAAGTGGGCAGAAACTGGGTTTGAGAAGAAGCTAAAAGGCTGCATAACAGGGCTATGCAAAAATATTTTTCAAAATTATTGAAGAAAAAGATACTTAACAGCACAAATAGCACCCAAAGAAATTCATAACTATCAAACTTGTACTCCAAGAACTTCTCAAGGATACCTCACAGAGAGAAAATGAAGCTAACAATGACAAATCTCTAATAGAATGAGTACACCAGGTAGGCTGAGCAGTGAAGTAGAAGCGGAAGGTAGGGAACTGGCCGCAGGACGATAGGAGTAAGTCAGTATCTACTGGGAATAACTCTCAACCAAATGCCCGCAAGTCTCCAATCAAAAGGCTGGTGGAAAGGTATAAGAAACAAAATCCAATAGTAAGTTATTTAGGAGAAGCACGACTCCTCATAATTTAATTCATAGATTAAAATCAAAGGGCTGAAAAATATTTCATGTAACAGGAACTTGACTAAAAGCATGGGGAGCTATGCAGACAAAGTGGATTACAAACCAAAACTCATCAAAAAGAGTCAAAGAAAGTCAGTACATATTGTTTAAGAGAACAATTCAAAGGGAAGATATAACAATATTTACCATATAAGCACTAAACAATGATGCACTTAAAAATCTAACCAAAAAACCAATTCATAGACCAATCTCGTTAATAAATGCAGATCAAACATCCTTAATAAGTAAAGAGAATGCAATGAATCACCAAAAAGATCGTGTACTATGACCAAGTAAGGTTCATCCAAGTAAAGGGAGAATGGGCAACATATGCAAATCAATAAATGTAATCCATCACATACAAAGCAACTAGAACCAAATTACATGATCATATCAATAGATTCTTTTTGGCAAAATCCAGCAGTCGTTCACTATAAAAAACACTGAAGAAGATAGGAGCAGAATCACCTTAAGTGAGTCTCATAAAAGCCATTTATGACAAACTAACTTACTATCAATATCTTAAATGAGTAAAAGCTGAAAGTTTCACGTCTAATATCAGTAACAAAGGCAAGAATGTGCACTATTACCAATATTGAATCATTAGCAAAAGAAATTAGGCAATGTCTGTGTATGTGTGTGTATTAAAGGAAAATATCTGATTATATTTGTATTTAGATGACATAGTCCTCTAGATAGAAGGCTCTAAAAATCTATCAAAATGCTCTTGGAATTAATAAAAAGTTCAATGATATAGCATGATGCCAAATTGACACATTAAATCAATAGCATTACTATACAACAGCAATGTATTTACTGAGACAGATATTAGGAAAAAATATTTTTAATAGCACCAAAAATTAAATTAAGTATTTAGGAGTCAATCTAACATATGTAAGCTTCTCACTGAAGAGTACATTACTCTGAAATAGTAAATTGAAAAGAACATCAGAAATGTTCCTGAATAGCCAGACCCAATATAGTACCAATGACCATAGTTCTAAAATATATACACAGGTTAAGTGCAAACTCAATCAAAATTCCAGCAGCATTCTTGAAAGAAACCGGAAGAGACTCAGAACAACAAAAGCAATCCAATGTAAAAAGGCCAGAGCAAGAGAAAGAAAAGGGCCAAGGCCACGCTATCCACCTTTAAGACACATAAAGATTACCCATTTCTCAGTAGGACTAGTGGCTGGGCTGTAGATCTTCAACACACGTGCCACTGGGGCCATTCACAAACTATAAGACAAAATATGTTTATTAAGTGAAAATTCACATCAATTGCTCATCAGTTGTTTTTATGTAGGCTTAAGTAATGCATAATGTTTTGTATTAAACTAAAAAATAATTAAACGTAGGACATGCAATAGTAACCCCTTAAAATAATACAAGTTTATGCTTTCATTATTAGCTGGAACAAATGTAAGGTAATTTAAAACAGTCTTTCTTCTTCAAAAATCTCTAGTGATAAAACTAAAAAGAAAAACATGTTTTATACTTGAAAATGGCAACTTTTCACAAATGGAGGAAAATAAATGGAAATAAAGAAAATTCAATATACTACTTCACAGGAAAGTAAGGGGACTTTGGATTTTGCTATAGTTTTTGGACATAGCTATTTCCTGCAGCTCATATTGTGATATTAAAAACATGCAATGCTACCTTTATTCATGTTTTATTTAGGTATTATGATAAATCATGGCATTTAATATTATTTGTACTATAGTGAGAAATTTTATTTTCTCTATTAATATGGTGTCATTTATAGAAGCAGCTAATAATATCTTTTTCCAGATCTCAAATTCAAGTCTGAAAATTGATGGCAAAAGTAGACAATAACCTGAGATTCTTTCCAGGATTTTATTTATAGATGCCAGGGACTTCATTACTCTATATGTTCTTTTTTCCCAATGCAGTTCCTATCAGTTATATTAGTAAATACTAATGCATTCATTACTATAACATTAAATAATAATACTGCTTATGTATTACTGTGCTATATTATTATGATTAGTTTATAAAAATTTTAGTATGTCTATTATGTATTACTATTAGAAATAATTATCCTTTGTATAGTCCTCTAGTTTTGATTATTTGTATATTAATATTTGAAAACATAATTATGTATCACAATTTTATACATAACTATAATTATTTCATCTGCTACTCTCATTGACTATAACTATGAACTTTTGATTCATAGCACATTTAGATTTCTTCAAAGTAGATCTAGGAATTGTGAAATTACTAGTTCAAAGAGTATATATATATATATATATATATATATATATATATTCATAGTTGTTATATACATATATATATATATATTCATAGTTGTTTAATTTTTCCACAGTATTGCAAAGTTATCACATGTAACTGGAGATATACAAATTTTAAACGTCATATTTATTCTTCTGTAAACTTAGATGAATGGATTTTTGCTTAAATATACTTTGATATACTTATAAATATTTCTGAGAAAACTGAACCCAAATGAAATACTTATCCAAATGCCGACTGCATCAGGAGTTTATCTAAAAGGAAATTATAGTCATCACAACTATAGTGAAATATTTTTTTCACTAGAAAAGTCAGCTTTAAAGGAGAAAATATCTTGATTTGAATGATATTCCACTCCCACGAGAATGATGTGATTGAGCTAAGAGGCACAGAGATCAGCGTTAATCCTATTTTAATAAAGTGAGAGGAGTTTACAGCTTCTGAGACTCAAAGAAAAAAGAAGACAAATTGAGAAGATCAGTGAGGCGATTCTACCAAATGAGTTTACTTGAGAATCTTAAAATTAAGCCAGATCAAACTCCTGTAATATTTTCCATTTATTCTGCTAATAACTTAATCTTAAATTTTAAAATATTGTTCAATTATGTAAAACACTGAAATATCAATCAACATTTATTTTCTAATGATATTTGGGCAGTAATATATAAATTATACCTCCATCAAAAGATGATGTGGGAATACAAAGTATATAATAACTGAACATCATTACATATAATTTGTTTTGTAGAAATTAAATGTTGGCAGTGA